ACCCTTTCAGGCTTTATTTATGATATTGTTTCATTCTCTGCRCACAGAATTGCATCTTTTCCTCTAGCATAGAGTAAATGCATTTTCCAAGGGAAAAATTATGTCAGTAGTTCTGCTTTTTTAGTCTTGTAGATTATAAACGTTTTAAATGTATGAGAAATAGACCTCAGCACTTCTCTTCTTGCTCCAACTGCATGGGCATGGTGCAGATTGCACCCCAGGCACAAGCAGCAAGCTGAATATTTCATGAGGCCGTTAGGGTGAAATTTTCCATGCTCCTTCGCTTTGCAACAAGCTAAACCAAGATTTGAACACACAAAAAAACAGCTGAGAGCATCGGATATCTTTGTTTTCCCGGGCCTCTGTGTTTCCCCTACCTATGCACCCCTCTGCTTGGTGAGCTCACATGTAGCAAGGAGCTTAYGGGCAAAACCGAAATGGTTCTGGGCCTTCGTAGACTCCACGTGGACCCGCTTGTGGTCCGTCCTCCTCCGAGCAGCTCTGCGGGGAGCACCTGGGCTGTGGTCTCGGGGCCCCCTCGATGGAGTCCATCCATGTGGCCCCGCTCTAGCAAGGCCCCTGTGCTCAGTGCAACGGAGGCAGCCAAGAGGGGCAGTCCTCGCCCTGGGGAAAAACTGCCCCTCCAGATCAAGCTTTCCATCTCCCATGGGAATAGGAATGGGATGGAGGCATCACCCATTAGACCATGTCTGACCCCTGCCTCTGGCAGTCCCCTCCGAGCAGGCTGAGCAACGTGTGTGCGCAGGCGTCAGTGAAACTGCTGTTGCTGCCRTCGGCAACATCAGCAGTTACGTTCAGCTTTAGTAACTAATACAACCAGGGATCATAGGTCCTCATGTTAACTTGTAAAGATCTTCTGAGAAGCCCCTTTTTACTGACTCCAGCTGTATTGCAGTGGTTAGATGCCATCTCTGATGTTTGTGGTGTGCCAGGAGCAGTTTGACCATGTGAACTGGAACTACAAAGATATAAGTTTTAGTGCTGTGTTTATATTGAGTGTAATTTGGTTATCATAGAATCATAGAATGCCGAAGGTTGGAAGGGACCTCAGAGGTCATCGAGTCCAACCCCCCTGCTCACGCAGGGTCACCTAGAGCACRTGGCACAGGGCTGCATCCAAGCGGGTTTTAAAGATCTCCAAAGAAGGAGACTCCACARCCTCTCTGGGCAGCCTGTTCCAGKGCTYTGTCACCCTCACAGTGAAGAAATGCTTCCTTAAGTTCCTGTGGAACTTCCGATGCTTCAGTTTGAAGCCATTTCCTCTAGTCCTATCGCTGTCCACCACTGAAAAGAGGCCGCCCCCCTCCTCCTCACTGCCTCCCGTATCATGAGGCACAATACGTAGAATTAACTCTTCTGAAATTGTAGTAAGTTGTTTTCTTCTAGTTTAATATCTGAGGCGTCCAGCGATGTCCATGGGAATAGCCTGCTACCATAGAGAACTGTGGCTATGCAGGATCAGCTAAATGTCGCTCTGCAGTCCGGGACGTGCTGGTTACTCCCTCGTTACCTGCAAAAACGAGCCCAAAGAGCCTGAAGTGCCTGTGTGCACCAGCTCCCTGCGATCACCTGGGGAGATCATTGCTTAGAAAGTGATGCCAGCAAAACCCCACTCCTGAGCTGCCGCGGCTATGGACTTTGGTCTTAAGAATAATAGATGCTCAGGCCATTAATTGCTTTTATTTTATGTCGCTGTTCTTTTAAAATGGAATTTTCTTGTTCCTTTTATAGGCTGCCATATATTTTGTTTCTATGTACTAGGAAACAACTTTAACACTAAGGATTGATTTTTAGCAGCATAAATAATGTGTTTTGTGGCTTTTCTATTATATTTTGTAACAATTTTAAATGCAATATTTTTATCTGAGTAGCTTATGAAATTTTTTATTCCTTTTYATGGGTCTCATTTTGAAAAAGTAGCATGTTCAGGACAGATTGCTTAATCAGGAACATTTAAGATACTTTCAGCTTTTTAACAGYTTTAGGCTACCTTTGGAAACAGCAGGTGAAATACTGTAATGACCTTGCCATTTAAAATACAAARTTATGAAAAATCATTTTCTCTCACATACGTAGTTTTATGGCAAAAGCAAAAAGTAAATACCATATTTTTATCTGAAGCTGCCAGTGCATGATACCTAAATGCTATAGCTTTTTAGGTGATATATTGCTTAGTGACTTTTCTTGTTCTTATAAAAGGAGCTGAGTATATAGGTTTCTAATGCCATGAGGTTTCTCTTATAATTAAAGCAAATACCAGTATTCATGCTAAATGGTAATTATATTCAGCGTCACCATTAACAAAACATAATTCTTTGAAACAAGACTAAATGCAACTTTTTGTTCCACTTTTCATGTTTAAGCTACGTGCTACGCTATTAATTTGCTAACTGCGGATGAGGCAGCATACAAATACCCACAGGTTGTTCACCTGCAGGTTTTGGGTCTCCTCCTGTTTCCATCCGTCCACCTTCGACTTGTGCCAAGGCCCTGCTCCTATTTCGTCCCAGTCTCCAGTGATCTGAATGTCCCTTCATACTGTGACCTCCCTCAGAGGAGGGACAGCGACCGAGTCGGGCAGCCAGAGCTTGAGGGAGGCTGAAGCTCGGAGCTTCGGGAGCAGCCGGAGCTTCGGGAGCAGCAGAGCTTGAGGGAAGCCGCCCTCTCTGCTCCCATGCACTGTCCCGGAGCAGCCAGGGCCACGTTTGGCCCAAACCTGTTTTTGTGGCACCTTTGGAGACTGTTTTTTGTGATTTATTGCCAAACCTGGGTCACGGCCACCGGCGGCACGTCCGGCTTTGGTTTACAGTGAGCTCTCAGGAGGCACGCGGATCTTTCTCAAGGATGAAGAGCCTTGAAATTGTTTGGTTTGCAGGGTAAAAAGACTTCAGTGGGTAACGTTCTTGATTGTTTCTAGAAAGAGGAAATGGAGCCTCAAAACATTCACAAGGGAGCAAGCCTTTTAAGTGGCCTTAAATCACTGAGGGGGGAGCTTTAAAAAATAATCATAGTGTAGGTGGAATTTTAATTGCCTGCCCCTTCCTCATATTGTCCTGGTCCTTTCATCCCCTCTCTTTTCCAGTAAGGAAATGTAGTTATTGCTGTTCATTTTAAGAAATCCAGTGGAATTTCTCCTGCAGTGCAGCAAAATTTCAGAGCTGGGTATGTTTTAATATTCCATATTATGAACATGTTTTATATCTTTGTAATTAAAAAAAAAATGAAGTTTTAATGACTGCTGTCCTATAAACCCTGGACTGCTGCATTTCCGATCTAAGAAACTGAGGAGAGACAATGCCAGGTGCAGCCGGAATATTGCTGCAGCCCCACGACATATCATTTTTTTAACATTATTCAAATTAGTCCCAACACTCATAATTCTGTTGTTTCCTTTATTGCTGTTGTAAAGCAAATGGTTCTTTTATACAAATGTTATCTCCTGGCTATTAATTCCGCAGTTATTTTGGATTATGGCACTCCTGTTAAATTTAGGAGTGTTAAACCTCATAAATATTTAAAAGTTTCAGACTGACATGGGAAGAAATTGTTTTTGACTTGCTTTGTTAATATCCTGTTGTTCAGTTTATAATAGATTTGGAATATATTGTTATTTCTCCATTGTTTGACAAAGAAAAAGCCATTGCAGTCGAGCAAACGCTTGGGGTGTTTCCCCTGAATTGTAACAGGTCGGTGAGTGTTTGTTTCCAGTGCAAAGCAGCAAGAGAAATAACTGTCCTCGTTCTCCTTAAAGGGGAGAAAGCATCTGTGAAAATTTTGCTCAGAACCCTTCCTCACTTCAGAGTTCATGAAAAGGCCACCGATGGTTTGTAAAGTGTTTTCAGAAAAGGAATYCCAAGCAGATCTGCTTGGGATCGGGTACTGCTGCTGCCTCCGAGTCTTGTTCCTTAGCTTTGCTCGGGGCAGCAGGTAGGCGCAAGGGGCGACCGTGTTTCTGCTGTCGGGGCGTCTTACGGCGAATGCCAATGAACGCAGTCGTGGAGTAAACGCGGGTATGTGTGCTGAGCATCCCAAAGGCTCTAACAGTAACTGAATGATGCAGAAATCACCATTTTTGAAAGGCCAGGGAAGGTCTAGACAGCAGAGGCTCCAGGCCGGTGTTTGTATTTCCTCGAGTTTTCACGAAGGGAGCCGTGCAGACGCTCACAGGTGAGGGAACCTCCAGCTGGGTGTTCCCAGGTGCGAAAGCGGGGCCGGAGGTGCCGAGCGCGGGGCCGAGCTCCGGCCTGCGGCGGCGCCGGGGCCGGGCTGTGCACGGCCGTGCGGGCACCGCGGCGGCAGGCGGCCTGCGCCTCCCGCCCGGGCTTGTACGGGCCCTCCTCCTCCTATCAGAAACTGAAAAGATGCCCCACTGTTACACGGACAGGGGAAAACAGCAGGGGTTCCTGTAGTATGCCTCCTTACTAAATGATCAGAATGTTTAAAATTATATTTTATTATTACAGAGAAGTATTTCTGTTGGATGTTTATTACTCTTTTTGGTTCTATGAATCCATGGTGTGCGGTGTAGAGGAAAGGGCACTAGTATTCCTATGGGTATAAAGACATTTGGCTGGAGAAATTCTGCAGAGCTGTACAGTTGCTTTGCATTTCTGAATGGCAGCAATTAAAATGCACAGCTGCTGGCGATCCAGATGTTTCCTGCATTCGAGCCCTGTGATTTGCATTGGGATACACGGCGCTGCTGGGGGAGCTGGAACGTGGTCAGGGCGCTCAGTGGAAATGCTCCGCATGGCTCCAGGTGGACGTGAGCCTGTTACCCGCTCCCACTGGATTCCTTCCTGCTGCTCCCCTGCTCCTCTGTTGCCGCCTGCGGGTCTCACGTGGAGGTTTTATTGTCTGGCAGCTGGATGAAGCTGGGAATGTGCCGGCAGGTCCAAACGGGGCCTGGGAGGCTTCTGGCAAAGGGGAAAATAAAAGACCTAGGTTTTTAGTCACAATTTTCCCTTTGGCGTTTTCAGGCAGCAAACATTCCTCTGGTGTCAGAGCTTGGCATTGACGACATGCACTTCGATGACTTCTCGCTTGATGTGGATGCCATGATTACTGCGGCCCTGCGGATGTTCATGGAGCTTGGCATGGTGCAGAAGTTCAAAATTGACTACGAGGTAACCGCCTGCCTGCAGAGCTGCGTGYAGCCCGTGCCGTGGCACCGTGCTGTGGCTCTGCACCCGTGGCAAGGGTTGTGTGTACAGCCTGTGCTTCGCGTTGCAGACRCTGTGCCGGTGGCTTCTGACGGTGAGGAAGAATTACCGGATGGTTCTGTACCACAACTGGAGGCACGCCTTCAACGTGGGCCAGCTCATGTTCGCCATGCTCACTGTGAGTATCCAGCTACACACACCCTCCCCCAAGGGCTCTCGTTGTCTTGCTGTCCTACCTGTCCAAATGTCTCCCCAGGCTTTGGTAGCTTCTCTAGTTATGACTGTATCCATTTACTGCGGATGGAAATACACACCGAATCAGGAAATTCAGCTTGAGGCAGCGCGGGTTTGGCAAAACTTTATGATGTTTTAGTGACAGTGATATCACAGGCACAGGAAAGTGACGGAAAGCAGATGGCAGTCTTGGAGGGAGCTTGTCATTATACATCTTGATCTTACAGTAGTGTTTTTCTTTTGGAAGTTCTTCTTTGGGTATTTATTTCAGTCTCTTAAATTGGAAGCTACAAAACCATGGAAGATTAGAATCACAGAAGTAGCAGTACTTATTAAGTTGATATATTTTACTTTATTTTCTCGCATCTAAATAGTTGTAGAAGGTACTGCCTTTTAAAGCCTTTGAAGATCATCTTCCAACAAAGTCATTCGAGGGATTCTTGTGTCTTCATAGGACACTATAACATTGCTGGGTCCTATCAACATCCATGTCTATCAGTAGCTTTATCTCCTCCCAGGAAAGTAACTCCTATTGGCAGGAACAGCACTTCTGTGCTTTCCCCTTCCTCTCTTCTTTCCCTACACAACAGCAACCCCTCCACATGGAAGAGTCCTGTTTAGTAGGTGTCTAGTTACTAAATTCCCGTGAGTGTGTCAGTAAAAAGACTGGTAGTTTTGTAATGTGGAAGTTCTGGTTCATGTGGTGTGGTAAAAGGAACATGGCTTTACTTTCCATTTGGATTTGCCCTATGTCCAGATGAAAACAGAAGTTCAAATGTTTTCATTTTTTCTTCTTTTTCAGTTTAGATATTTTGATGCTGTTGGCCATCTATTGAGAGTCTTAAAAAGGTCTCATGGTAGCATTTGTGCAGGCATTTCTTTAATGGTTTGAAATGAAAGTTTAAGAAGATTTTTTTTTTCCTTTTTTTATAGTCGTATGTGTTGTACATACCTTGGCCACGCTTAAAAACTCCTCATTCATCATTTTCCATGTTCACACACACTTACCAGGCAGATGCCTTCCACTGTCTAGAGTCCAAGCTTTTGCCTGTGGGTCAGCAAAACTAGACAATTGGGCATGTTTTTAATCTTGTGAAAAGTGGAAAAGTCTTTGGAAGCTTTTTTCCCCTTTTTGATGRTTTTCTGTGTTTAAAATTTCCATGAATGTGCATGCTTTAGGGAGCTGAAACCAATATTTATCACTAAAAAACAAATTACAGAATTTCTTTGTGAGGAACTAACAAATGGAGGTACCCAGAAATGAAGGCTGTATTTGCAAATACAGGAGTATTTCCTTTCCCAGGGACAGAGAGGAAGCTCGTGATACCGCTAGGAATAAAATCCAAGTCTTTTGAGTTGTTTAGCATGGTCTCAGTTACATAGGGCTGAGCTTCTCACACCTCAACAAAGGCATGGAAGGAGAAACAGGTTTTCCTGCAAATTATTTGCAAGGTGGCCTTTTGCTGACCATAGCAACGCCACTGGCTGCTCTTGCTGGGGAGCTGTGTTTTGAGGACRCCTCCATCTGATAGTTTCCAAGGAAGGGCCTTTCTGATGCCAAGGCCCCTCTTTGATGAGTCTTTTGATTTAACATCCCAAGTGTTTTCCACCTGGGCACGTTCCCAGGGCCCGTTCCATGCATTCTCTGGGCCGGCTGCTCTGCGCTTTGACCAAGATGCGGTAGCATCAGTTACCAGCGTCGCAGTCGCAGCYGCCTTTGTGAGCAGAACCATCCCCTAGGTGGAGCTCGGAGGCCACGTTTTCCACCGGTCCTGGCTCTGCGTGGGAAACGTTGCTTCCACCCATTAGCTCGTCCCAAGGTGACGAAATTGGCCTCCAGCAGAGAGGGGAAGGATCTGAGGACATGGACTGCGCGGCCCCGGCAGGCCTGGCTCTTAACCCGCTTTGAGCGTGGCTTGCAAAGCGCGACTGCTGATGGCACCAGGACTGCCCCTCCTCGGCTCTTTCTCTTGCAYGAACCGTCTGTGCCTCAGGTTTTTGTCTGTAAAAAAGAGAAAAGTGGGTCTTACTGTAACGTAGTGATGTCCAATTTGTGCTCAAATCTGGCACCCTCAAAAGGCCCAGCTGAGCTCCCCTTTACAGCAGGAGCAAAATTCAGCTCGGTTGAACGTGGTAACCAGCAAAAATCCACAAAGTTGAAACCAGTCATTTCCCTCCTCTGTCAGGTTTCTGTGTGTGTGAACATATATTTGCTGCCTCCAGATAGGCACTGGAGAATCGTTAGCGCGGGGCTGAAGCTCCGCTCCTCTATTTCACACTCACCCAAGTGTTCCAGGCACAAGCGCTGGAACAAGGACTGTTCCTGTGAGTTAATGACATGGGATGAGAATAAACCACAGGATCTAGCCCCAACTGGCTTGTTCCAAATGCCTTTTTCTGAAACACTTCATATCGATTTTTATTTTAAAAAGTAAAAATAAAAAAGTAAGTAGTATGAAATTAAAATCCCATCTGGTGTGCTAACAACAAAGCACATAAATGTGGGCAAGATGTAATGAATGCGATTCATTTCCTCACACGAAAGAATGACCTCCATAACTCACCGGAGACTCTGCCACTCCTGAGTTATGGGTCATTCCTTTTCTGGTGAAAATAAATTCTGCTGCGCCGTCGTCTGGCGTTAGTATTTTTGCTCTCTCTATGTGTAAATTTACAAAATGGGGAATCATAATCTTCTCCTGCCTTGCATTATGTACAAAAGAAAATCCCTTTACCCTGTAACACTGTTTATAAATTAAATATTTTTATTAAATGAAATACATTAGGTTTCTCTGTATATACATATATAGAGAAATAATACATAYGTATATATTCTCCATGAGAAGATTTTTGATTAAGTAAAATGTTGAAGTTGTTATTGAGATTATTAGTAATCCTATTAGTAAATTCCTTAATCATTTTCTTCTGTTTTTAATATAGGTTGTATCCTTGGGTCTAATCAAACCCCAAGTTTTAGGCTAACCCAAGTGTTAGGCTAAGGACCATTTATTGCAGCAATGATTTTCTATTATAAAACTTCTATTTTCAGGGGTTTATAGCTCAGCCATGAACATTTTCTCTGGAATGAAACCTGGCACATGGCTTGTTGTCATGACAAGTGTAAGAGAAAAAATAAGAAACCTTGATTATTTTGTATTACATGACAGCAACATCAAAACAGAAAATCAAAACAGAAAACACTGTATTTTTCATATATTTCTTCTATCTGCGTAGCTGTTACTGAAATTAATTTTTCTTAAAGCAACATAGCTAGAAATGAGGAGAAGCTCCTTCCTAGCAGTCAAGCCACTCAGTACGTGTGTGTGTTCTGTGTGAGTGAAACCTTTTTCCCTCAGTTTCGATTATCTTTTTTTAATATGTGAACTTGGAGTCCTGCTGTAAAGCTCTCCTAGCAAGTCTTGCACTTCTTTAGCTTACGGGTCTTCCTGGGCACCTGGGGGGGTCTCGGCCCCCCCGTTAATACTGCCTAAGTATTAACTTCCACAGAGCAGATCAGAGAAGCAGGACTTGGATTTGAATAGGAATTCGCCGAATGGAATTTATGGTCTTCCAGGTTACTAGCGACATTTTCACGTGGTGTTTCAGGACCTGACTCGTATCTCTGAGACGGTTGGATGTTCCTAAAGCAGAGTGAGGGCTTGAGATCTCACCAATACTGTCTTTGACCACCCAGCCCTCTTTTTCTCAGTGGGTAAAATTTTGCTGCACTGAAAATTAGTGGAATTCAGATTCAGGATTTTTCTCAATCTAGTGTTCAGTCTAGGTTTGGTCTTCCTACTAAATATATATTTCTTTTATGTGTTTCTTTCATAGTAACTAGATCTTGCTCCTAAGTAGAGAGCATGGTTGAGACTGGCAGTGCAGAAAGAGGAATGACGACTTTCTCGGGCAGTGATGTTTGCAGGCAGTGCTACCTTCCCTTCATCCCRAGTTGGAGAACCGGATTGTTTCTCTCCAGGGTAGGATGCTCGGAGCSGGGAGGCGGTTCCTCACTCCGGCTGCAGCACCAGCCTCGCACACGCTCTGCCCGGGACGCTTGACGTGACTGGCAGCAGCAGCGTCTCCCCTGTGGCRGGAGGCAGCTCTGGCAGAGAAACTGCTGTGGCAGCTGCCTGTGAGGAGAAATAGAGAAAGAAAGTGCTACTAGGATCAGCTCCGCTCCTGCCAGGCATATCTGGTCCGAGTCGGTTGTGGGGAGTTTCAGTAGGTTGAATTCTAAAATGTTCCCTCAAACTCAAGCAGATACCTGCAGCAGAATTATCTCTTCTGAGACAAAGTCTCGTCGTATCATGTCACATTGTGTCACGGAGAGACGATCTCTTAATAGGTTGTAATGGTTAAACAGATTATGTTTTAGCTGTTGTCTTTTATGGGTCTTTTGATTTAACATTTCAAGCATTTCCCACAGCAGGAATTAACCTAAGACAGTCACCTCAGAACCAAAGAAATCCGTGTCAAAGGACTTCTCTTGATAACTTCATAATCAAATGAAATTTGACTTGTTTTGCTCTCTCAGGAGATTTCAGCTCCTGTCTTAGTGTGTGGGKTTTTTTCTATTTTCAGCTCTTTTCCCCTCTAGTGGCTTCTGGGTAGTGGGGAAATGGCATGTTGGAAATGCAACAGAGAAATCATAGATCACTCCAGGGACATTATCTATTCTGCTAACCATCTAACATACTGCAGGGAATATAATACGACAATAAAGCATTTATCTTCTCCTTACGGAAAGGTTTGTGGTATCAAAACAAAGTTGACTGTTACTCAATGGATTTACATTACTTATCTCCTCTGCTTCTGATAGCTACAGCTTCTCTTTTTTCTGTCCTCAGACAGCAGGATTTCAGGAGATTCTGACTGAAATTGAAATCCTTGCTTTGATTGTGGGGTGCTTGTGTCATGACCTTGACCACAGGGGAACCAACAATGCCTTCCAAGCCAAGTAAGTTTTCAAATTCTTATTACTTCCATTTGTTTTTCTYCCACAGAAGAGCAAAAGGTGATCAGGATAAAGAATGAGATGTTAATTCCAGGCCTCCAAGGTCAGATTCTTACATCACACACATCTAGAGCAGCTCTGCAAACAGAAGCTGTAGCTTTTACAACAGCAGGTGATTTATTCCTGTATCTTGACTTACAAAGTTAAACATCATTTTTCCTAACTCATCTTCCAGGTTCGATCCTGCCGTTTTTTGTATGAGGGAAGTGTAAATGATAGCAGCAATATCACAGTTGTCTGAAATGGCGCTGCTATGTTCCTCAGTGCAAGGTCTGCTAGGGTTGRTGTTTCCTGACCAGTTCTCTCCAATATAGCTGCCCTGGATAATTAAATATCAGTATGTTGTACTCCTAGGAGACTCTTTCTGTTTGTCTCTACCATAATCTCTGCTGCTCGTTTCTTTGGAAAGAAAACCCATCTTGTTGCTTTAGGCTGGGTCACAGAGTGAAGTCACGGTGAACATTAAGTGCCCTGACCATCCAGTCCYGCTCCCTGGGCTTCCTGGCAGTTATCAATTCCATAATTACATTCCATGGTGTTTTTGTCCTTTAAACAAAAGCGCGAGCGGCTGCTCTGCGACGTGTGCCGGGGATGAGCAGCTGCCGACCRCCCGTGTTGTGTTGCAGGAGCGGATCGGCGCTCGCGCAGCTCTACGGCACCTCGGCCACCCTGGAGCACCACCACTTCAATCACGCCGTCATGATCCTCCAGAGCGAGGTAAGCGCAGCGCTGCCCGGCTCCCCGCCAGCAGCTGGGCACCTGCAGCCAGGCAAAGGAGAGAGCACCCACGGTGCCTCTTAATGTCCTCTCCTCGAGTTATTATTGACTGGTTACCACAAAGGTCACAGCGAGCACAAAATTAAACAGCTAGGAGTGCTGTTCATATAGCCCAGATGTTGTATCTGTCTGGAGCAGCAAGGAGAACAGACCCTAATGAAGTGGCCAGCTTCTACTCGGTGGTCTTGCATAGATCCTGCCCAGTGGCATGAGAGAGGAGCTCTTACCTTCCACAGCTGTGTGTCCAGTCTATCACAGTCAGCCTCTCCTGCGCCAATTTAGTATTTAGTCTGTTCTTCTGTAATCGGTATTTTCATAATAGTATTGAATTACTTGGTTAAAAGATGTTTTTTACCATTACTCTCAGCGTTGCTGTACTGTCCAGAGCACCCGAGCTGCTTTGCAGCACAGAACAAGGTGCCTTTGCCTCCTTTTTGGTGTTGAAGGTATCAGGCATGGGATGCTGACTGTGACTCTCGTATTCAGTTTCTGGACATTATGTTAAAAATATAGATGTGGAAAAGGAAAGCCCCAACATCTCAAATAACATTTTAAATAATCAGTTCAATCCCCATAGCTTAGGCTATATTATTTAGAAGGTGATAATTGGAATTAAATGGCTTTTTTGTACTAGCAAAGGAAGGCATAACAAAAAGCTTAAAAGTTGGAAGTTAAGCATAGCAGTTAAGAATAGGGAAAAGGGACTTGGAGAGATTTCAGCTGCTGGAAGAGATCTTTTCCCAGCTAATCAAAAATGTTTTTTTTTTTCTTTTTCCCTGTGATATACTCCAGCTTCCTTCCCAGGTATAAAATACTACTTCCCTGAAACACAGRTCTTCCTCTTTGATCATCAAGCGTCTTCTCCAGGTCCTTATTTCTAGACCAGAAAATTAATCCCAGTGGGATTTTTATCCAATATTTGTTAGCGAAACACAACATCCATCAGTTTAGAGTAAGTGTAGCATTTCATTTATGTGAATTTAGTCATATGTGACTAGAATATTAGTTTTGCTGCTTGTAGTTKGTTTTCTGCAGGGTTTATTGGAGAAAAATCTAGGATCTCTGTCCCCTTTTTTCAGAAATTCAGTTACAAAAGCAACTTCCTGCTTCCAACTATCAATACTAAATAATTTATTTCCTTTTGTGCTGGCTACAGAGCATCCTCCAAGCTGTTAATCCATGAGTCCTTAAAACCTCATGGACTGGGGCCACAAAGGGCCTCCACAGTGCAGCCGACTGCTGTTTTTCAGGCTGTGCAGTGAAGGTTTCTATACTCTGTAAAACAACTTCATAACATTCAGGCCGAGCAAAGATACTGTTTTGAATGAAAAACTGATTTAGTGTCCTGGACTGCTCTCCCAGCAGTTTGTGTGCCTACAGGCAGCAGCACAGATAAATCTATTAGGAGCACAGCACAAAAGCTGCAGTGCACAGCTCCCCAAAACATATAATAAAGAGGGAAGATTGAGATGTATCCATAGTTTTTCTCCATAAACTGAATCTGTGCAGAGTCAGATCAAAGAGTAAATCTTCGCTCCAGAGGCTATAATTTCAGCAGAGTTTAGAAGAGTATCCAGGGTGCTTGATTGCAGTGGTCAACTCTTCCACCCCAGTGTAATCTCAGTAATATTAACATTATTATTTTGTCATAGTTTTGCCATGAATCAGAAGAAGCCTCTACTACAGGGAAGCAGTAGACTAAAGAATCAGAAAACCTTTTAAAAACCTGTATTGATTGCTAGCCCTTTACCTCCTTTATCTCTTTCATTACAGGGTCACAACATCTTTGCTAACTTGTCCTCCAAGGACTACAGTGACCTTATGCAGCTTCTAAAGCAATCGATATTGGCAACAGACCTCACTCTGTATTTTGAGTAAGTATTGGCATTTTTGGTATTTGACAAATGAAAATTCAAAGACCGTTCTCTAATGACCTATTAAATCCCAATAAGGATATATAATATGAGAAATTACTGTTCAGCTGTGGTTGAAGAGATTTACTCTAATGCTTAGTGTATCTTAGGCTAATAGAAATATCTCAAGTGTCCAAATAAGTTTTGCTTTAATGCATAGCATGTTTGCATAAAGAAAAGTCAGGAGAAGCCATAGGCTGCTACACTTCAGMGCAATCCCAGGAATCAGCACAGCCCTGTAATTCCTCCATTGCTTCTGTGATAATTTCTTTTGGCAATTAAATAATCAAGAGTGTTTTCTAATTTGAGTATTTTATAAAGCTGACATTGTTATGCTGGGCACTGAAACGCAGGATGTGAAAAGCCACAGCTGCCTGTCCTAATAGCACGTGTAGTTGGTGCTGATTGCTCAGGATTAGGCTGATTTAAAGTTTATGTGCCAGCTATTCTCGGGCACTAAAATTTTCATCGTTGCAATATTTATATCCGCTGGGGCCATCACCCCATGAACCTGTATGAGAGAAATGAATTCTGTTTTCTGCTTGTGTGACTTTGCATTATGCTAGCAAATTTTGTAATGTGAAACCGTTTTATATCTTGTTTCATAAAACATAAAGGATTAGATATTATCACATAGTCCCTATCTCTCTATTCTTGTTGCCATCATGAAATCCATTACAAAAGGACCCTAAAGCAGGAGTGATGAGTCACATAATGTAGTCAAGGAGCAGAATAATGCACTATGGCCCATTTAAAAATTTGTCTGGGGTAGTGAGCAGTGTTCCCAAAGGTGTCCCATGCCTGGCCGCGTGCTTAAAACCACCATCAGACTGCACTTGGAAATGCGCAGGCTGCACTTTGAATATGAAATGAATGGAAAATGGGGTATGTTTGATATGTTGATATTCTGTGGTGATGTTGGTATGTTGATATATTGGAATAGAAAATACAAGACTCAAGCCTCTCCTGTTAGAAATCTAACTAGATTTCTACATGATGAGGGGATAGCACAGACCCTTAGGAGATGGGGCTCCTGACTGTCCCTCAGAAAAGAGTGATTCTGTTTCCAGGTCTCCTGTGTCTCCCGGACAAGCCCTTAGAGCTCGGGTGGGCTCTGTTCCACCCTGTGTGCAGCCAGAGCCCTTGGATTCTCAGTGGGCACTGCTGTAAAAAAATATAGACCAGGATAAGCCAAAATGTTGATACCTAACATCTGCCCCTATGTGTTAATATATTCTGACTCATATTTTAATCAGGCTTTGAAGAACTAGGTAAGATCTTCCAGAAGACAAAGCAGGGAGCCAGCAGAGTGATCTAGTTTCTAGTTTATAAAAGCCACTAACTCACAAATAACCGTACTTAGACATYCGAAAAAAAACTTCACTATCAAGAGTTTAACAAGAAAAAAGGGGGTTGTGAAAAGAAAAGAAAAAAAGTATTTTGCAAGGATAAGCAAATACAAACGTGCACATTTCAGGGTTACTGCTACTGTCTGTATGCCCACTGCTGTAGTCAAATATTTCATGCTTCCATGGAAGACTGAACATTTTGGAATCTTTTATATCCTCATTGGGCAAAACCATAAATACAATCTCTCTTTTACCAAGCAGCTCTGACACTGATGACAGGCAGTTATAGAACATGGTTGGAAATTAGTATGTTTTGCCTAAAGGGACTGTCAGTGTAACATCTTTAACAGTAAGGCACGGGGCGTCAGGGTTTTATACTGTCAAGAGAACAGGGTTTCTGCTGCTGCGCTGCCCGGGAAGGGGCTGCTCCCTCCTCTCACACTCTCTTTTCTTGCAGGAGAAGATCTGAATTTTTTGAGCTTGTCAGCAGAGGTGCTTATGACTGGAATATTAAAGACCATCGAGAAATGTTTCGGTGAGTACCATTATTTCTGGCTTTCTGGTTGTTTCAAGGCATAGCTGTATTTGCTTACAAGCAAAATTCTAAGGGAGAGAAGACTGGAGTTCTAAGTAAAGGGGCTTGTTTTAAAATTAACAAGTGGTTTCTAAAGGTTGTGAAACGAGCACAAAAGGACTCAATACAACCTCACCTTCTCCATTCCTGTTTCTGCCTTTCATGGTCTGTGACCTGTTTTCATACCTTTCTCCCAGCCTTACCAGTTACCTCCCAGCCCTTCCCATCTTTCCGGAGAAAGCACCCATGTTCTGCCTCGGGAATCGAGGACCCTTCTTGCCCCTTTCTCTTCCCTTCCTCACCTCAGCCACTCACCAAGCTCTCCTGGTCTACACGTGGGGATTGGCAGATGCACTGTCCTCTTGTGGCCCTCAGAAATGACCTGTGCCCCGTGCCTGCTCACCCCAGGACAGCTCAGGCAGTACTGCACACCCCACCTAAACACATCCCACCGAAACGCAGGCTTTGGCACATGCATATCTGTGTCTCAATTTACCTCAAACTTCATTAAAGTTGTGTTTTCCTTTTGGTTTTTTGATTGAAATAGYGACCGTTTTCTATTTTCCATATCATTTCACCCATCCCTAATTTTAGATTTGGGCAATAYATTTGATACTTCATTTTCAGTGCCCTTGTTCCTCATTTAAACTTTCTCACACTTTTATCTGCATCATGTACTGTACATAAACGCTTTCTACAGCTGAATGGTTTCTTTCTTCCAACGCATATAAAACATGGTTGTAGCCAGGTATTAAACTACAGTGGAACAGTCTTGCTCATACAGTAAATCTTAAATTTTTATTGCAGATGAGCAGTAGAAACTGCTTAAACAGTGTCTGGGATGCCTCTTATGGTTATAGGATCTCTTGCTACAGCAGGCACTTACAAATAGGCAAATAAATTAATCCTGTTTTCAGGTATTATTATATAATAATAATAATAATACCCTTACTCGTATCACGTGAGGCACATGCTGTCAGGTATATTACCTAAATTAATATGACTAGTATTAGGAGTACTGCAAAATTAGCAGTACCCTTTATTTCTGGTGTGCACAGGACCAAAACTTGGTCTCCTGATGACCTGCAATGCATGAGGCTGTCTAGGCACAATTGTGATGTAAAAGCAACAGTGAGGGCTGAGATTTCAAACCTGTCATTCTTTTCTGGAGGACAAGGAGGTGCCCGGGCTGACACTTTATATATATATATTATTTATTTATGCATCCAGAACAGAGTTGTTCAGAAATCCAACAAAGGTTGATTCAGCTTGTATTGTTCATTTCTGTTTTTCAGATCAATGCTAATGACAGCCTGTGACCTTGGAGCGGTGACCAAACCGTGGGAGATTTCAAGACAGGCAAGTCATGATTAATAGCAGGGCTGGGAAGAGGCGGGACGCGTGGGACAATATTCCCAGGGCCCCGTCTTACGGGGGACCAAAACTGCAATCAAGTTACGGCAGTATTAATGCTGCAGAAAAAAATAGAGGGGGGTTTATTCCAAAGAATGGTTTATTGCATAATTGGTTTGTTTGCAATGCTGGTGAGCAGTATGGAGGCACCTGAAGAGAGCTGGTTTGATAATCCTTCCTTTTCTTGCAAGCCTTTTAAATCTGTATTTAAAAATGGACAGATTAAACAAAACAAACAGAAAGTATTAGCCWTATGGAATTTGCTTGCTGGGTTTGTCCCAAAGCTTTTCCTTCTAGTGTAGATGGCAGTGACAATATAATCCCTAAAGCCAAAGGCACCAGCAGATGATCTGCAGGCCTCGATTAACATMAAATCTTCAGTTTTTATAAGAGAAATGTGCTAATTAGCACAACAGTGACAGGAACACAGCCAGTGCAGTATACTGGGAAGGGGGAGTTTTGAGGAATATGCAACTCAACCAGCAAAGGGAAAACACAGCAGTGCAGTTCAGTGTAGGTAAGGAGCTGGCACARTTTGAGTAGCTTTTTAACAAAAGATTGTTACAAGAGMAGTAGTGAGAGAGGAGTAGCCAGATATGCTGGAGAAGGACAAGAAAGACAAGAGAAGCAGCTGGAAAGGACTCGTTCTGAAAGGTSTACCAATGCCAGTAATTAAGTGGGACTATAATTTTCTTTACAGTTAAGTATAAGCTAAAGTCATAGACTGAGTAACAATTCATGATCCTAAAATTATGTAAGAAGAGCTCTAATCTTTATCATGATTTATGTTTTAGGCAGCTGAACTGGTAACCAGCGAGTTTTTTGAACAAGGGGACAGAGAAAGATCTGAACTCAAGCTCACACCTTCAGTAAGTTTTTATCACTTCCGAAATAGCTACGTACTTGGGTAGGGTAAGAAAATATCATTGCGTTCATTCAGGAAAACAAATTGTATGGAGAGAAAGATCTTGTAGTAAAAAAGGCTCAGTCCAACAAGGAGGTGCATTTAGAGCCACTTATAGAGCTGTACTATCAACTCAATTATATTTGCAGTGAGCTCTTCTCTCTATCTTCTGTAGCTATTACCAAAACTACTTTACCTGTTGATTTTCTAAACCAATAAGTATTATTTCTAATACAGAGTATTCAAACCAAAAATCACAAGAAATCAAAAATCAAAATGAAATCAAAATTTTCAAGTTTACTTTATGCTGCAGACATCTACTGTTTGTATTATTTAATGTATCAGATGCCGAAAAGGCATTTCTGTAAGTATATAACTATATATAACACTGTGGGTGGTAAGTGGAAGACAGGCAGCTGAGTATAAATTACCAAACAAAAACTAAGAGGAAGAAAAGTTTCATAAAGGTTTGCTGTGAGTGATTTGAAGAGAAAGCCTTACCCRGGTTAAACATCTCAGAAGGTTGACAAACAGTTATGCAGATGAAACAGGAGAGGGGAAACAAAAGTTTTCTAAAGAATTGAACTTACRTATGTTGGTGTTTCTACAAGTAGACAGWTCTGGTGGTTCAGACTTGTTCTTGCTGTGGTAGTATTTGCACATAAGCACGCTCCCTATAGACATATAATGAAGTCAAAAAATTAGTTATTCAGTTTGAAGTAAACAAGACTCACTACAAAAAAAATGGTTTTGTGTATATACAAAGCTTGGGAAAATAAAGGATTTCTCTATAGTTTTTCTGTGGATGCATCTTCCCCATAAAATGTAGCTAAAATCCAGTAGCACCATCATCACTCAGTCACAGCACTAATGATTCTGGGACCAAATCTGGTCCTGAGTAACTGCAGGTTCCATTCCCTTTAATGTGTCCCTTTCCTACCATATATATACACATAGCAGTTACAAAGCGTGTTTCTTACGGTAATAAAGCATATAAGTAATTTCTTTTTTTTAACACATACATTGACACCCAGGTCTAGCAACTTTAAGAGTTATTCTGAAACATGCTATTATATACTGCATTTTAGTCATACTGTGAACATGGTAGAAGTGCAGAGAAAGACCAAAGCCAGAGTTTTCCTTGGATTCCTCATATATTTTCCCCAATCAGCACCCAGCAGCCTAGCTGGCTGGGGGAGGAGGAGGTAGGTAGTGCTAGTGCAGCTACAGCACCTCCTCCCTCCTAGGAGCCTTCTCGCTCTTCCTTGGGGCTCTTCAGTTCATACCACGGAATTCAGAACCCAGTCCAGATTCTATTTTTTACATCATTTCATCTTTGAATTTGATCCCCCTCTCATTTATTACACAGTTATACCTATAGAGCAAGGTTCAACTGTAAGAATTCAGCCAGACATTCAGCACAATTATATTGAGTTTCTGTAAGACAGAGGTTCTAGAAAAGTGAGTTACCAAACCTAGAGGAGAAAGGCCCAGAATCAGAAAGAGACAGAAAGGTTTAAAACTTGACATATTTACAGAATAATGAGACGTGAGSTGAGCCAGTAGAGAAGGCCTAAGATGCTGCAGCAGTAGTGGAAGGTCCCAGAGGAAACTCACCTTCCCAACTTACTTCCCATCTCCTTCCATGGGGCARTGCAGCAGCAGTTGGGCCTCCCAGTCACGGGCTCTGGCCTCCGTGGCTTCCTCACTGGGGTGGGCAGCTCCGCTTGCAGGGGCYGCACACACTGGCAGCAGCTGCACATTCCCCACCTGCCCCTTCCCGGGCTGGCGGCCCTGCCAGCGGGGGCTGCAGGAGCAGGCAGGGAGCTGGGATGCATACTCACGGTGCATTTTGCTGGTCGGGGAAGCCCTCTGCAAGGAAAAGGAAACTTGCATTTAAAGGTGTCTACTTCACATTTCTGCAGCTTTTCACCAGCTGAAATGCAACTGCAGAACATTTGTTTTACATTACAGAATTGTAAAATTTAAATACATTCAGCCTACAAATTTCAAAACAGGAATGAAAAAGTTTATTTTTCATGCCAGACAGCAGTAAGGCGGCTGCTGCAAAGATTGACTGTGGTTTACAAAGTGTTCTGTTTATGAGAATTTGATCATAGCTGCAGAGTGCTGAATGATGCATCTGTAAAATACTCTGGTGTAATAAAGCATGACAGTTTTGTTCCCTTCTCAATTCAGGCCATTTTTGATCGGAACAGGAAAGATGAACTACCCCGGCTGCAGCTGGAGTGGATTGATAGCATCTGCATGCCTTTGTATGAGGTAATTCTTACTTACTGCTCATGTAGAGTCGGGAGAGGATTGGCAGTGTCTGGAAGCTCAATGTCCTGCCTTGGTGCTGCGTGTCCTTGGGCACGGGTGTGYGAGACCCAAAAGGAAGGTCGGGCTGAGCCACTTCTGGCTCCTCTCCGAACTGTTACTGGACACCGTAGGCCAGGGCTTTAAAGTCAGTGACAAATGATGTGTGGTTGAACCTGCGTGCTGTTTAAGAGCGCAAGCTCCGAGTTAATCATTCATCCACACAGCTTGTTAGGTGCTTGGAATAAATCACAAGTCTGTAGGTCCCAATTCACTAYGGCTATGACTGACCAAGCTGATGTTTCTCTGCTTTGGATTAGACCAGCTTCACAACYTGACGTGTGTAACACCGGCATCACCGTTTTGACTTTCCCTCCCTTATCTGTATCCAAAGCAAAGCTCTGCAGGCAGGATGATAAATAGAAAATAACACTGCAGAAGCTTTCACCATCAATAACAGTGTCAGGCAGCATCCTTCCTCTTCCTCACCCACCCCCCCCAGCCAGCCATATGCCCCCAACCCTGCTATTAAGTCTTGGTGCTTGCAAGGGCCCGGGGCTGCTCTCGCGGGGGGAATGCCGGGAAATCCTGACRGCTGCAGCTGCCCGGAGCGAGGAGAGCCGAGCACCCAACCCCGGCTGGAGGCGCCTTGCGCTGCTAAGTCCACCTGCGAGCGGGGCCTTCGAACCCACCGGGCGGGCACTTGCGTGGCCACTTCTTCCTCTTTCTGAGCCAGATCCCTCACCAACAGCAACTCGGGTGAGAAGGACCGTGCGTCTCCACCGCCCCCRTACCCTGGGAGAGCAGTGAAGGGACTGCCCAGCACTGCGGTGTGAGGTGCCCACGTGCACTGCCCCGCTGTTAACAGCCAGGTTCCTGCCCCTTCCCCAGGAGAGGTGAGGCCTTGTCACGGCAAAACATTGTTTGAAAGCCACAGATGTACAGTTTAAAGACAAAGTAAGCACAGAAGACCCATGGAAAACCTGCATTTTTTTAAACTACCAAACTCATTTTGGATGTTACATGAGGTTGGGAATTTATCCCAAGGATAAATTGGAAGAAAACTCTTTAAAAAAAAAAAACAACCTTACTTTCAATGCAACAGTTCCTCAAGAATGCATATTATACCAGAATTCATGATTTCCAATTGCATGTGCACAGTAAAGGAGGAAGAGCTGGTAAGGAACTCATCATACTTATAAAAGCATCATACCGTATAAGCATAGCATCATACTTATAAAAACTGTATGTTTGACATAAACATTTGACACATTTTGCTATCAAAACTACATAATTAAACTACAGAGAACAAAATCGAGGCTTTTGCAGGTAGCTATTCCTGTATGAGGGAATAGAAGCGCTGGCTGCGGGTGGCAGCCGCGTGTGCGTGACGGGACGCGTGCCCAGAGCAGCCGGCATCCAGGGAGCTTCGGCGCTACCTCCTCCTCCTCCTCCTGTATCAGGTCCCTCTCCTCGGAGTAGCTAATGACAAGGGGGTTTTGCCCCAACAGTCTCTTTTATCAGGGAGATGGCTATAGGCCTGTACATACACACACACATATATAGACCTCTCCTTTTTGTGCAAGAAGGTTTGCAAGCGATCTTCAAATCCTCAAGCTCTGTGCATTTTCCATGAGAAATCCTGTCTTACAGAGCACAGGAGACAGTCCAACCCTGAACAAGGTCAAAGAGAGGATATTCTGCATGAACTAACACAATGTTTGACACTAAATATAGATAACACAAGGAGCAGAGAGGCCATCACCCACGCCCCTACCTAAATCTCCCCTGTCCCATCTCCAACCCCCAAACCGTTGTGTGAAGGGGCTCTCTAGGCCTCGCTCCACTCCTGACACCAGGCTCTGCTCCCTGACTTGCCCCACACACATCGGCCACCAGGGAACAAAGGCACAGCCACTTGCAAAGTACCCTGGTAATCAAATCTGTTTCCTCTACACTTTCTATTAAGGGATTGTGAAGATAAAATCTTTCCAATCTTTTGTCCATTGCTCTTTATTACACTTGGGACATTATAATTTTATTGCATTTACTTTGTTACTGCAGTGATTGCAGATCAGAGCATCTTTATGTGGTAGTGGCTTTTGCCCTGGGTAGCAGAACAGCCATCCACTTACCCTGAAGCTCTAAGTTTAGTTAGGGACTTCAGTTACACCTTCCCACCTAACATTTGCTCTTCATTCAGAAGCAACAACAAGGAAAGTGTTCATCAGCAGAGATAAGAAACAACCTTAGCAGAATAATCATTTATATGAAATAATAATTTTTTTTTTTTTGGAACTGTAGAGTTCCAAATGTTTCTTTAGTATGAAATTATCACTCCCCTTTTGGGAGGCTAGAGCACTCTATAAAGGAGGAATGCATGCAGCTAAAGCAGAAATCTAGAACAGCCTGCAGAAAATAAAGCACTGGCTGCACTGCCAGCCACATTCACAGTACAGATAACGGCACCTGCAGCTACCGGCCATACACGTTTGTGCAACAGAAACACAGGAGTTGGACCATAAAGACAAAGCATTTTTCCAGAGCTGCAGGAAGCAGCCTCAGAGGCTGAGAGCATTGACACCCTCAAAGCCCTGTCCTGGGCTCTGCAGCCCACACGGCACCCAGGAGASTCGGTCCCAGATTTCCTCCGGCTCCAAGGAGGTTTCTCTGTGGGACACAGATGGAGAGGCAACGCACAGATCTCTTTATCATCACTTTTTCTCACAAACAACATCAAAGCGTCAGCGATTCCCATCAAACAAAAGAGGGAAAAAGRAGCCAGGCTCTGTTCAGAGCATTGTGGGCAGAGACAGGAGCGCCCTGAATAGCGGGGGCAGAGGCCGTGCACTCTGCTCTGCCCACATCAATACCCAGTCAGGTAGTCAGTGACACGACAGCAGCTATTCAGATTTCAGGGAGATGGCTGTGGGGGAGATAAAGCAGCTCACATACGTGCCTGAGAATGCCCTGCTCACCTCTGCCTTGGTGCTTCATTGAGCTGCTCCATTTTAATGCTATTTTTAGTGCTGGTTAAGATTTTCTTGGGTATGAAGAGCTTCAGACATATCACAGAACATACAGAAGGGACTTTGCATCGTTGCATCCAAGAGCCTAGGAGAAATTTGGGAAGAACAGAAACATCTAGGTTTATTCCAACAAGTACCTGCCGTTTTCTAGACTGACTGTGGCGAGACAGCCAACGTCCTTCCTTGCCGCGCTGCTTGACGTGCTCGGAAGGAAATGTGCTTGGCTGGTGCCCTGGCCGGAGCAGGCTGTGTGGGATGGCTGAGACCTTCCTCCGGCAAAAACAGCTGGATGTACCCAAGCAATGATGTCTTGGTTCAAATGTTTCTGTCCTCTGCAAGTGCAACTAAATAAATAAATAAATAAATAAATAAAAAGTATAAAATGACTTAATAGGGAAGAGCTTATCTGTATAAACCTTTTTGAAATAGCTAAGATTTACAGCTATTCACTAAAATGCATTCACAAGCTGTTTTAACCCACACAAGCCAAAACAAGACTAAGCCATGAAGAAACCACGCTCACATGAAGCAATTTGCTCAGGTCTACGTAATTCCCCCTGGCATCAAGTTTTCAGCTTGCTGACGGAAACCTGGGAGAACTTTCAGAAGGGCAAAGGATACCGCAAAGGTGCAGAATTCTGCAGCACTCACTTCTGCGCTTCCCAGGGCTGCTCAGCGGGCAAGGATCAGGAAGGCAGGCAGCGATGCACGCAGGCCGTACAGACACTGGCAATTAAGTCAGCTTCACTGTCTGTTGAAATCCCTAGGGAAAGTTTACCCCATTTCCAAGGCAGGGCAGGTGCAGCACATTCTGCTGGCGTGGTAAGAAATTTGCTGCAGAAGAAACTTCCTGGGTTAATGATGCCAAATGCGTGACCTGGGGGAGCTGGTAGCTGCGGATCACATCCGGCCTTGGGGCAGCAGATTCCAGCACTGCGAAAGGATCTCGGCAGCCCTCAAGTTGGAGCCCAGTGCGGGTCAGCACTTCCGCCCCCAACTCAGTTCCCTGCTAGTGATGAACCTAAACAGATCAACCTGAAATTAATTTTCTCCAACTTTGAAAAAAAATGCAGATACTCTGAGCATTTTCAGCTCCCAGGAATGGAATAGACACGGCAGCTTTTTTAATCACCTTGCACCGTTAGTTTAAGAGTCAGTTTATTCCTGCTACTATTGTATTAATGGCAAAAGGAGGTGAAAAAAAGGAATATAACAAAAGAAAAGCTGGGAAAGGAATAAAGAATGCTTCTATTGCCATGCCCCTCTGAGTCAATCACTATTTCATGGTGTAATACAGATAATTTAGGAGGTTTTGGAGCAAGGATTTTTGGGTGTATGCAGATCAGAGAGAGAGAAATCCTGGGCCCCCCCCTTTTTAATTTCTAACATCAATGAGGGCTTTCTGTATTTGCAGTTAACAGAAGGCATTGCATTTGTTCAGGTTTTTGTAATTTGCTGAGATTACTCATGGGACACCACATGACTATGGACAATTTCAGGACTTTATACGCTTGCATAAAMCACTTAGAGGAAGAGTCAGCAGAAACATTTATCCCTTCACATGAGACTACTTCCTGCTTCCTAAAGTTCTCAATTCATCTATTGCCAAAAAAAGAAACCCATAAAGTTCTCAACTGAAAAGACTATAATCAACCCAAAACATGCTAGAAAATATAGGGGGAGAAGCAGCAACATTTGCTAGCGATTTCAGTCACTAGCTAGGCTTCATCAAAGACTTTCACCATAATCTGTAAGAAAAAGTGACTAACCCATAATATTGCAGTTTCTGCTGCTGCTTTACGTAGAATCATCTGCCCATGTATTGCAGAAGACATGCAGTCATGTATGGAAATGCATATAAAGAGCTAAGGAAGTAGATTGAAAAGTTGGCAGATAAGGTAGAAGAGACAGCCAATAGAGGCAGCTCAAATCCTACAGCAAATCTCAAAGAAGATAAATGGATAATTTAACAGCCATTCAGTTTTCAAGAAAGACAAAGCACAAACTACATTGCATCAGAAAAGGACTAGAAATGATGATGGATGAAATGCTTCAAGTGAGTGTTTAACACAACAGAATCACAGTTGCCTGCAGAATTCCCAGCTGAGGGCAAATTCAAAGAACTAAATAAGGACATAAGACTCATATGGTTTGAAGAGTTTTTCAAAATCCATTTAACAGCAAGGTAGAAGACATCGATCGGCTGCTTGGTTAAGGTGCTGAAAGGAACAGGGGTAGAAAYGTTCTGCCTTTTGCACAAACCCCAGATTCCGAATCAAACCGCAGCAGCAGCGGCGCCCAAGACGTGGCTCGTGACACAGCAGCTGTTGTGGGCAGACAGAACCTCTGCCCCGTGCAGTTACAGGGGGCTGAGAGGGAAACAGTTCGTCCAGCGAGCGCACTCCTAACCAGGAGCTCGCTACGTATTTTCCTCCCTGAAGTACTGGGCACGTTTTACCAGTGGCGGAATTTGACTCATCCGTCCCTGTTACAGACATATTTACAAAGGAATGCAACGTGATTCTTGCTACTATATCATCACCAGAAAGAAACAGGACACAAATTCATACAAGAAGAGCTGACCACTTGTGCATCCATTGCCAGTCACAGCCAGCTCCCTTCTGCACTGCCAACAACTTCCATGGAAGACACACCACCAGCAACTCATCTTTTCTATGAGGGAAGTTGGTGCTATTCATTTTATCTAGTTATTTCTTTAGGCACCAGAAATATTTGTGATGCTGAAATGCAAAAGCAATGAGCTGATGTGTCATACACACGACTATCTAGACTCCTTCACAATCAGCCCTAGAAGAATAATAAGGTCTCCATCAAGTGCAAGACAACTTGCTGCTGCTGCTTCTTGTTGTGACCTCAGCCTCCTCCCAAACACAGTCATTCCTTCAGGAAAATAATATTTAGAGCCTAAATCAGTCTTGACATACACATACAGCTACGGGCTCATAGAAGTTTCCCCTGTCTTCTGCAGAGGACCTACCAAAGGGTGAGGTTTAGCAATCTTACTGTTCCTAGCCATGGGCATACAGGTGGGTATGTTTTGGGTTTTCAAGACATCTGTCATCAATTTTTATTATTAGGAAGATTGAGTCTGTGGATGCCCACAAGACAGGTTCCAGTTTACCTGACCTCATCTGAAGKTGATGGCCCGGCTGTGGCCGCGTGTTCTCTCGCGAAAGCCGCCTCAGCACAACGCGGGTGTCCAGCTCAGCTCCGCCGTATCTGGTCACGACTCCCCTGACTTCAGCAGTGCTTCATGCACCCACACCAGGTCTCAATTTATCCCTGCAGCTTCCCGCTCACTTGTCCTCCCTTTCAACCCTGAAACTGCCTACATAATAAAAGTGATTCATTAGAAACCACTGGGTTCCAAAGAAGAGTGAACACTGTGACCTATAACTTTTTGATATGTGTTCAGTAATAAAAATAAATTTATATGGTCTTGTTCCATAAACTCACTTTACAAACACTAGAGCCGCAACTACACTTCCACGAGCTGTAATCTTGTCAGAGCTCGCAAGTTAGGCAAGGTCAGAACCGCTCGGTATTTGGCTGAGAACCTCAAAACCAAACCCCAACGCCCACAGCTCCAGGAAAGGGGGTGCCTGGTGCCCCCCAAAAGGGGCTGGTATCGGAGCCCCCTTCCCACTGCCACCTGTGAGGCATCAGACTGGCCCCTTTCCCGCTGAAAGGGGTGATAAACAGGGCGAGGGAGCCCCGAACTGAGCGCGGAGGCGCTCGCGAGGCGGCCTGGGGGCGCCGGGCGGCCGGGAGGGACTCGGTTTAACRCAGAGCGGAGGCCACAAGCACCTCAGCTATTCAGTAAATTCCAGGTGGAGAACGTGCCAGGAGGGAGGGAAACCGGTGGCCCTGCGGATCGTTTCCCAGAAGCTTCATAAAAGAAATTGATTGCAGGAGTTTAATAATTAAAATAGCCAGAAATATAGGAATTAAATGAGTTTCTAATTACATCTCCAGTAGAAATAAAATCCAATCAGTGCACTTTCTATTGGAAAAGTCCTAGYGAAATGCTTTGGTAGCTGGAATAAAATAAAATAAAAGCTAATTTCCATAGGAATTATAGTAGTGGGTTTAATTAAAAGACCAAATCAGAACGAAGGAGTCCCAAATCGAAAAGATACTAAATACATAAGCAGTAGTTTAAACATCAAATCAATGTCTGAATAAAGATATTTAATAGGTCAGGTGCAASATCTGCACTGTCAAGTATCCCTCATCTAAATTAATGCGAAACAAGATAAAGTTTCCTAAGATTACACTATATATTGTGTAAGCATCCAACAGAATTAATCACTTGTGCTGTAGTAAAACTGAATATCAAAGATATGGTTTATTCTTAAATACTCCTTTTTAATTGTTTTAGCTGCATTCATACTTTGTAATACTCATAGTAYTTCTACAGAAAACCTATATATTTACTCTGGGATTTAAAAAGCTCCTAAGATAACCACAATCACATAATAAGCTCATAAGATAACCATGACTGTCATGAAACAAAAGCAAAGCTGTGCAGATGCCTCCTGAACCCATTCAACAAGCGCGGAGAGGYTCAAAATGCCCCAATTTTCAAACACAGGGTTAATACTGTAAAAGTGGCAATATGCTGGAAAACTATATTTGAAGACAACATTTTGGAGATTTAAGAGAAACCAGCAAGCTCTAGCTGTTGGTGGATGGATGCTGGCATCCCTACTCCAAGGAAATCATTTGAAGCGGATGTGCTTCAAGTTCCTCACAAATAGGGTAGTTATATCAGGATTTTTAGAAGTGCTGAGCATTTCATATTTCTACTGAAGTCAACCAAAACTGCAAGTTTTCAGCACATCTTAAAATCAGGCCATTAACCCTTAATTACCATATAATAGCTCAATTAAAAATCTACCATGACTTACTTCACTAGCTAGCCAAGCTCCCGTGGTTTGCAGGCTAGCTATAAAAACGCAGTTCGTCAGCGGTGCCTGGGCTTCTGGGGCCATTTAAAGCAGTGCTGTTAACCCTGCTCTTTGAAGCAAAAAATAAAAAAAGATCAACTGCAAAGATACCTCTTCCCTTCTCCTTTCCCTCCAGTTTTCTGCACTTTCAGAGCAAYTTCTGTTGTCTCCTCTATCATTCCTTTTTTTTTTTTTTTTTTCCCCACCTGCACCAGCCTTTTGTTAATGGCAAATACACACAGCCCACGCTGCCAGAGAAGGCAAGGAGCTCTGAGCTGATACCACTTCTTACCAATGCAAAATGCTGCAGGAAAACATGATACAGCAGGAACTGCCTTTGTCCTAGAACCGAGCATGCTGTGCGACTGCTCTAGGGGTAACGGCTGTCACCTCAACATCTGGGCGTTGCTTTGAGCCGGTGTCTGTCTCTCTTTAACGCAGAGATGGGGCACATTGTGCTCTGCAGATTAGAGCCCCCTATACCCGCTCACCCTCTACACTGTGAATCACAAAACATGAGAATGTTGTCCATATTTTCTATCTTTTTTCATCTTTTTTTCCAGTGCCTGGTGAAGCTAAACGCCAAGCTGAAGCCCATGCTGGACTCTGTGGCAGTGAACAGGGYCAAGTGGAAGGAGCTGCACCAGAAGAGAGCCCCTTCCCAGGCCTCGCCCCCGGCCTCCTTCTCTGCCAGCTTTTCCGTGTCTCTGGAAGACATACATTAAGGCAGCGAACATGAGCRCTGGTTTCTGAGCAGAGCTGTGCGAGGGGCTCGTGCTCGCCGTTTAGCACCCGCTTGCACAGCCACGCGTCATTAACTGGCCATCACCCCATAGCGGTAGCTGCTTTCCCGCGGAGGCCTCGCGGGTCCCGAGGAAAGGCCACGGCGAGAGCCAGCGGCCCCGGAGCGAGGCGGGGAGAGCGGAGCCCYGCGCGCCCCCTCGGCGCCGCCGCAGCCACCCAGAGCCGCCAGCAGCCTCCGGCAGAGGAGCTTCTGGCTCGCTCGGATGGATAACGCAGGGCAGAACTGGGACGCAAGTTGCTCGATTCATATGCAAGAGCTGCAGGAGCAGAGCGCAGTGTGTAATTACCTGGTTGTTTTGCATCTCTTTAGTACACGTTATGAATCAATTACGCGCGCTTTTGTGATGTCCCCCCTCACTCTTCCTTCCCCTTTTATGCCTGAATGTTCTCAGCAGCTGCTTTGTATTCTGAAGACGTATTTTTTTACAACAAAGCTTCTTAGTGATTGATCAGGGCCTTTAGAATTGCCTACCTTTGCTACATTTAAAAACAAACTTTATTACCTTTAAAAATACCAACCTGTCCCTGCTTTCCTGAGAAATTCATATTAACAATGCAGTACATTTCCCTGCAAGGGGAAGTCTGTATAAAGGCAGAATATTGCATGGTAATTTTTTTGGTTGGGGGCAGGAGAGTATTTTAAAATATACTCCTTCAATGCTTTCCTTTTTATAAAAAAAAAATAATAAAAAAAAAAAGTTACAAGGGTCCCTGAGGAAATGATTAATGAACTTTAAGGAAAATAAAATAAAAATAAAAAGTGAGATCTGTTGCCCTGTGCTTTAAGTTTACATTACATTGAGCAGTTTACTGGGAAYAGGCCTTTCTGGTAGGACTCTCAATTGAAATGAACATTTTGGAGCAGGAAAGAATCCAGCACACGATGGAGCCACCAGGCTCCATTTGCTTCAGTGAAACTACCCTGACCTGGCACCAACACAAGGAAATTGGAAGCTGTCCCCAGAGACCAGATGCTTAAAAAGAGATCTTCAATTTAGGCATCTAAGGGAAGCAAGTGGTGAGCCCTATGAAAAGCTGACTGAACCCGTCTGAGAGACGAACAAAAAAGTGCGGAAGAAAAAGACAAGCCCAAGTGCTCTGGGCTACTGGCCACATGTTTAGCTGGAAACTGCAGTCCGCTGTAAGGAAACCTGCCCGTACACAAGGAGCCACACGGATTGCTGTGCTGGAGAGCAGCAACCAGGACCGCACAGCACTGCATACACACACCACATGGAAACACCACTGCCGTTATTGGACCGCCTTTTTCTTGCCTGCCTTCCAACGGATGCAGGGAGCAGCAGCTAGCCCTGTAAAGCCCGCGGTGTGTTCTTCACGGGAGAGGCAGAACCCGGAGCGGGAGGCGCAYGGAGCTTTCCTGCCTTCTGGCCTTGCACACTGCTCGGCACGGCGTAACTCCCAGCACGTCCCACGGTCTCCCCAGGGCAGCTCTCTCCTCTCCTTCCATCCCTCGCCTCCCTACGGCTCCAGCGCGCCGTTGCCCGTAGCAACAGCCACCGGCAGAGCTGGGAATCCGGCTGGCTGCAGCCTGGCGYGCAGTTGAGGCCCCAACAATGTCAACCATCAATCAAGTGGCGGGTGGTAATTGCCTCCATCTATTTCGCCTGCCTTTCGGTATCGTTCCTTTTGGGGGTCAGAATTCAGGAAGCGCTGACTAACGCTGCGGCCCCGTGCCCACGGCGCGAGGGAGAAACCCGAGCGCGGGGTTAGACCTGYGGCAAATCACTCCTGGGCAAAACGGAGCAACGCCACCAAAGCCAGCGACACAGCAGCGCAGCCGAGAACGGAATTTGCTCTCCCAGAGCGATGTAGCTCAATCCAGCGGGGAAGCAATGTCAGAACCTGCTAACGTTTTCTYGACACCCAGCTTAGAAAGCAACAGAAAAGGTTCCTTGTAGAAGCTCACAGTTCAGCGAGGAAACGTCCGTTTCAAGTATCTCATATTTCAGACGGTGGGAAGCAATTTTTACCYTGTGTTTAGGAGCTTGACCTATAGTGTACCTGCTTTTCATTATTTGCTTCTGATACCAAAGCACTTACCAATACTTCAGTCAGTTTTGCGATGCAATTCCAAGAGGGAACTGCTTGTGAGAGATTTCTGTATGAATTAAGTCTGAATTGTCCATCTTTTACTTATTTCCCTGGCCACTGCACAAGCAGAGACCAGAATCCATTGATACCTGCTTATTTCTGCAATCATGTATAAAATATAAGACCATGAGGGGGTGAATTGGAGGACACGTGGCGAGCAGGCCTGGAAGTGCCCGCTGCGGCCCAGGACAGCGCTGAGACCCGGCCCGGCCGCCCCCGCAGCTGCCGCGGCGGGAAYCCTCCCACCGGCCCCTTCCCCGCACGGGGCCGCTCGGGCGCCATTTCCCGGCGGCGCCGCCGGCCGTTGCCATGGCGGCGGGGACACTTCCGGGGGAGAGCGGCGGCCGTTGCCGCGGGAGCGCGGGCGCTTCCGGGGGAGAGSGGCGGCCGTTGGCCGCCGTTGGGCCGTTGGCGGGGCCATGGCGGCGGACGGCGAGTACACGGCGGTGACGTACGGCCTGATCCGCAGCGGGCGGCTGGCCGAGGCGGCGGCGCTGCTGAGCGCCGAGCTGCAGCGCAGCGGGCGCTCGCGGGGCGGCCTCTCGCTGCTCGGCTACTGCTACTACCGGCTGCAGGAGTTCGCGGCGGCGGCCGAGTGCTACGAGCAGCTGGCGGCGCTCGAGCCGGGCCTCGACGCGTACCGGCTGTACCGGGCGCAGGCGCTGCAGCGCGCCGGGCTGCACGGCGAGGCGCTGCGCGCCGCCGCGCCACTGCTCGACGTGCCGGCCTACCAGGGCCGCGCGCTGCGCCTGCAGGCCGCCGTGCGCTACGCKCAGGGCGAGCTGGCCGCCGCCAAGAGCCTCGTGGAGGAGGCGCGGGCCGCGGCGGGCGAGCGCGCYGCCGAGGCGCCCTGCGAGCTGCCCGAGGCCGAGGTGAACCTGGGCTGCCTGCTCTACGGGCAGGGCCGCCACGAGGAGGCGTGCGGCAAGTTCGCGGGCGCCATGCAGGTGCTGGGCGACTGCCCCGAGCTCTCCTACAACATGGCGCTGTGCTGCTACGCCACCAAGCAGTACGCGCCCGCGCTCAAGCACATCTCGGACATCATCGAGCGCGGCATCCGCCAGCACCCCGAGCTCGCCGTGGGCATGGGCACRGAGGGCATCGACGTGCGCAGCGTGGGCAACACGCTGCTGCTGCACCGCACCGCCCTCGTGGAGGCCTTCAACCTCAAGGCGGCCATCGAGTACCAGCTGCGCAACGTGGAGGCGGCGCGCGAGGCGCTCACCGACATGCCACCCCGCGCCGACGAGGAGCTCGACCCCGTCACGCTGCACAACCAGGCGCTCATGAACATGGAGAGCCAGCCCAGCGAGGGCTTCGAGAAGCTGCAGTTTCTCCTGCTGCAGAACCCCTGCCCACCAGAGACCTTCGGCAACCTGCTGCTGCTCTACTGCAAGCACCAGTACTACGACCTGGCGGCCGACGTGCTGGCCGAGAACGCCCACCTGACCTACAAACTGCTCACGCCCTATCTGTACAACTTCCTTGACGCCATCATAACCTGCCAGACCGCTCCCGAGGAGGCTTTCCACAAGCTGGACGAGGCGGCAGGGACACTGACAGAGCAACTGAGAAAACTCACAAAGCAGGTGCAGGAAGCTCGGCAAAATCGGGACGACGAGGCCATAAAAAAAGCAGTAAACGAATACGATGAGACTCTGGAAAAATACGTGCCTGTCTTGATGGCCCAGGCAAAGATCTACTGGGACATGGAGAACTACCCAATGGTAGAGAAGATCTTCCGCAAGTCGGTGGAGTTCTGCAACGAGCACGAGGTGTGGAAGCTCAACGTAGCTCACGTGCTCTTCATGCAAGAAAACAAGTACAAGGAAGCCATTGGCTTCTACGAGCCCATCGTTAAAAAGCACTACGATAACATTCTCAAYGTCAGCGCCATCGTGTTAGCCAACCTCTGCGTTTCCTACATCATGACAAGCCAGAACGAGGAGGCCGAGGAACTCATGAGGAAGATTGARAAGGAGGAAGAGCAGTTGTCCTACGACGATCCAGATAAAAAGATCTACCATCTCTGCATTGTCAACCTAGTCATCGGTACCCTCTACTGCGCAAAGGGGAACTACGACTTTGGCATTTCGAGGGTCATTAAAAGCCTAGAGCCATACAACAAGAAGTTAGGCACCGATACATGGTATTACGCCAAAAGGTGTTTCCTGTCCTTGCTGGAGAACATGGCCAAGCACATGATAACGCTGCGCGACAGTGTTACTCAAGGGTGCATCCAGTTCCTGGAGCACTGTGAACTGTATGGAAGAAACATCCCCGCTGTCATAGAGCAGCCACTTGAGGAGGAGAGGATGCACAGCGGCAAGAACACGGTTACGTATGAAGCCAGGCACTTGCGGGCACTCATGTACGAGATCATCGGGTGGAACAYGTGAGCGTTCCCAGGGACCACGGGAGTCACCTCACACCCCTTTTGATGCTCACCCCTGCTGATGCTCACCACAGCGATACGCTTCTTCCTGATTGCTCACATTTAAATATTTTATCCTACGTTTTAACAGCATGCCATGGAAAATGGCATACTTGCATAAATTCACATACCAGGAATAAATTCACATAACCAGGAGCATTCTCAGTAGTCAGTCCTATAAAATACACTTCAAGATCTACCGGCCAAGAACTTCAATACCAAAACGTCATGGAGTTTCGACCTCTAAAATATTTTATGCCCGTAACATTTGTTTCTTTTCGTCTGTTCACTATTAAAAGTGATTCATCATCCATCTCATCCAGCACAGAAACTGAGGAAACAATTGTTTTAATCTCCAATTTGTGCATTTGTGTAACATGTTTCTTTTGCTTTTTCCAAGTTATACTTGATACGGTACGGTATGGTTTTATATACTAAAGATAGCTTTTTTAATAAAAAACACTCCTATAAAAATGAACACGGCCTTTGCTAACTCAKTAATAGCACCCGAGTATTCTGGGAAATGATTGATCTAACACAGGGACCAGAAAGGAAAGGATATACTAGAACTAAGAAAACAGAGCTGAGCTTTAAGGAAASTGCAGCTTTTTCTTTTTCCACAAGCAGCACAAGAGATTCCTGTGCGCTCCAGGGGCGCGCGCGTGGAGCGGCAGTGCCCTGCGTGTCTGGCCTGTGGGCCCGGCCTCCAGGAGCCCGGGTCGGGTCGGCCCTTGCAGCCGGCGCCACCGCGGCCGCCCAGCGCTGCGGCCGCCTCCGCGCACGCAGCCCAGCGCTGCCCTCGCCCGCTGCGGCAGGACAGGACAGCTGCAATTCACACGGCAACTGCATTGCACACTGGGCAGCATAAACTGCAGCCTTCAAAAATAGGGTTTGGGGAAAGTCATGCCACACAGCAGGGAAAGAGGAGCAGCCCGTACGCAGCGGTGAGAACTTTGTTTAATACTCACTGCACACACTCCATACACAGCAGGGGACATCTGAAAACCTGCACTTTGAGACCCAACCTTCCCACAGCCGGGGGGCCRCCCCCACTCAGCACCCTGCACCACAAGGGCTCCCGCTGCGCGCGGAGGTACCGAAGGTACCGCAGCTTCACATGCGGTTGTGGCATCTCTGACCACAGAACAGCTGGGTCATGAAAAAGCACATAGAGCCATTACAGCCACTTTTATTGCTGTCTTTATACCGCATGTAATGTTATCACTGTGTGACTCGCACACAAAATACATTTGTAAAGACACACACATATATTTTTATTTGGTGAGAAGGGAGGACACCAAATAATGATGTAGTGCTGCTTAGAAATATAGTAAAATCTGTCCAAATTCATGCCCTATGCCAGTACGGTTCTTATTTAGTCCATAACTCAAAGTTGCTCATCTAAAAGGACACTAAAACCCTATACWGAAAGGGCTGATCTGACTCCTGGGCAGTGAAGGAAGGCAAAGAGCTGGAGCAAAACACGGTGCTCAAGCAGGAGCATCACTTCAAGGGACGGAAGGAGAGAAGGAACAAGGAGAAAGCGACTGGCAGCCCATGCTCCGCATGGCGCTCCGGGAGAGCGGCAGGACGCGCAGCCTCCTCTGCCGGCCCCGCGCACGCGGCCGCCCGTCCCGGCCGAGCTGCCGCAGGGCGTCACCTCAACTCGCCCCTCCAGCTGCTCTGGGCAACCTGCTCCGCAGGACCTTGCCGTGCAGCCAGCCCCATGCTGCCACTTCAGATACCAGGGTTCAAAACTTCTGCCCAGAACCGCCCTAGGGAAGCTGACACTGCTGTTTCATAAGTAACTCACATCTCATTTCAAGACCCTCCAGTTTTTAGCCCCTCTTGCACACACACAAGAAGAATCAGGACACCTGGCAGCGCAGTGGGACCTCGAGTAAGAGTTTTCAGCCTCAGGGTGCTGATGAGAACACARCAGTGTGAGCAGGGAGACAAGCACCAAGGGATCCATCTTCTCCTCATCCCTATGGTTCCTTTTCCCTCATCTCCTGCAGGCCCCTCCATCACAACCCCTGTGCAGGAGCCGGGTTCCTGTAGCAGCAACTTCCCTGTGAGGGCACCCGCCACAGGCCTCGGGGAGCAGCTGCATTCCAAAGGCATTGGRAATCTGAGATACTAACAATGTGCTATAGATCTTGAAAATCCTCCAAGAGCAGATGAGCAGGGGTGCTGCTAAATCTCRCTGCCAGGACTGCGCCCATCTTCACACTGTCACATGTGGCTCGTACAGAGAAAACAAACACGCTGAGACCATCTGGTCTGCCGAGAACTGGTCTGCAAAACAGATTTCCTAGAAAACTACCTTTCCTTTTTACACAAAGAGCTTAGCTGAGATGATAAAGTATCGCCTCCTTTCACAGCTGCAGGGGCCTTTTCTTGAAGGTCTTATCTGTCCTGTTTAAATGCCGTTGCCCAGCAGAGGAGGCTCCTGCAGAGCCCTGGTGCATTAGGAAAGAGACGACCAAGAATTATAGAAATAGATATAATGGTGGAAAGTGACCGAGCGTGAGAATTACCCCCAGAAACAACTGTTGCCGCTGAGCACCGAGGCGAGGAAGCCAAAGCGCGCCCAGGCGCCGAGAGGCGCCGCAGAGAAAGGCCGAATCGCGGCCGATGAAGCCCCCAGCTGTTCCTCGCTCCCCTGAACCTCRCCGGGACGCTGCAACCCGGCCAGAACACCCAAAGAAACAGTTGCTAAATAAGGTAAACGAGACTCGCAGTCCTGACAAGCTCTTAGGATTTACTTTCAGCAAACAACTCCTTTTTTTTTGGCTGACGTTCTTTCCATTAAGGAGAAAAATGGAGACATTTGGGCTCATCTTAAGAAGGCCCTCCTGATTAGTGCAGTTTTCCTAAACTTGCCTAAATTTAAACTAAGAAAGCCCTGTCACCGAGCAGACCTTGCCAAATCCAACCRCTCCAGTCCAGGATGTTTCTATTTTGGGGGTGCTTGCCCTAAATCTAGTGTTGTTTATACCCTAAACTGAAGGTCAGGGAAGCTGACGAGGGGCTGTCATGGTTTTAAACCCCCCAAAAGCAGCATCTTTGTCGGGCCATTTCCATGGGCAAACGCTGCCTGATTCACAAAGCCCCCACGCAGGGAGGGCCGCAGCACAAGGYTGCAAAGGAGCGATGCCCATGATGGGAATTAATAGCAAAAAAAGCCAAGGAAATGTAAGGATTTTAGGGAGGGACAGAGAGGCTCACACCAAGAAAATTTCCCCGCGAGGAGGTGCCTGCAGAGAAGCACAGGTCACACTGTGAATTTTTGAGACTTGCTAGGTGATAAAACTGGTTATAGAAGAATTTAATAAAAGAGGAAAACAGTTTATCTCTTTCTGATAACTCCTCTATGGCTTTAGGGTCTCATTCTCACTTCCTCTCCATGCCCAGAGAGGCGATCCTAATATTCACTGTAAAATGTGCAGATTCCCTAAAGGGAACTTGAAAGAAATGCTCTGTTTCAGATTCAAGCCCGGCAGTGCAGATCACATCAGGGATCCCGTTTATCAGCAGGATATTCAGGAGGGATGAATGATTTACTCGCATAATCTCTTAAACCTTTCACTTGTGGAGACTAAGAGAGAATTTATAGCATTTTTATCATCTGGATATAGGGAAAAAGAAAAAAAAAAGGAAAGAAAAGGCTCCAGCGCGTGACCAGCCTCATCACCTTGCTCCTGGAGTCTCCCTCGTCACTTGCTCCACAAAGAGGTGTCAGAGCTCTGAGAAAGTCATCAGGTTTCCCAAGTTCCCAGCCCCAGGGCAGGTTCGCATCCTCACTGCTCATTTACACTAAATAAACGTGTGTGTTGTGCCTGTTCTTCTTCCCTCTCCCTCCTCCTGTGCCATTTCCTTTGAAGCTACCCCCCARGACAGAAACCCGGTAAGAGCCACTTGTGTGAGAACTCTCAAGGTGCAAAATCCCACCTGGAAACAGGCAACAAGTYGCTTTTTTCCAATGAGGAAAACAGGTGCCCTGGGTGATTTCACCTTTGAATAACAGCATCCTAAGGGTTCAGCGTGGCACTCGGACATGTGTGAGCACTCGGGAGCTAACACTATGCCACAGGGGCCCAYGTGCTGATTTTGCAGAGCCACTGGCAGCAATCAGAGCACAGGAAACCCCCCGGGGCCCTGCAGCTTGGAAAGGGGAGGCCGTGGTTTTCCAGCCGTCTGGAATGCGGCCACCGGTTGCACGTGTTTATCCCATSCGCATCCAGCCCCCTCGGAAGCCAATGCGACGTCCCCGACGGCACCGCACGAACTTCCCTGGCTCCCTCCTTCCCCCCGCCAGCACCTCACACATGGAGCCAGCTCCCCGGCATTCCCAGGAGAGGAGCCGTTTCGCCTTTCCCTGCCCCATGGAGCAGCYGCTCAGCGCACACTAGGGCTGGGCTCCAGCAGCCCATCCGTGTCCCCGTGGAAAAGGTCCCGAAGGGCATAACTAGCTTGGGATGAGCCGGGACTCTGCTCCCTTTCCGCCTCTTTTGAACCCAAGGAAGCGCAAGTGACATTTAACCATGGGAAAGCCAAGCCAACGAGCAGTCCGTAACGGACACAAAACCAAGGCACGTGCCTCCAACTGCAGCACCCCATCGTCCCACGGAGCTTCAACTTGCTCCCTTTCACAAAATACACCCGGCCTCCGAATTCACACGTYAGCCCTGAAACCAAATAACTCGTCCCAGCACCTGCCAAACTCCCAATCAAGTGGGGCAAGAGGGAGGATCGAGTCTGACACGAACACAGGTCAGAAATCCCAACTCCCTCATTTAACGCACCACGTGGAAGCTGCTGCGTTTTAATTCATCACTTTTTTTTTAATTGACCAGATTAATTATTTCCACCTTGCCATTTGGCAGGTAGGTCACCGTTCCTTTTCACTACRTTAATGAACTAATTCAGTTTTTCCCCTTGTAACTAAAAGTGGGGGTTGGAGAGATCACATTTACAAACTGGCTCAGCGCACAGCAAATTTTGTTCTTTATTGTATAAAATACAACATCAGTTGATCCTCGTGCCCAAAGGGACTCGCTTTCTTTGCATTTCCTCACTAGCAAAAACACAACAAGAATGGTCCTCAGCTGGGCTGATACTACAGTAACTTTCTTAAACCATTTTTTGGTGCTTCTAATGAACTCACTACTGCCAGACTGAAGCTTCTCCTACGTTAGTGCCGAGTAATGAGTTTAACTGCCTAAAATACTCCTAGAAACTGCATTTTGGGGTCAAGTCCGCAGCTGCCCATGGTGCCAACYACCACCCCTGTTCTGCCAGTCCTCCGGTGGATGGAGGCGAGAGCCGAGGCGGAGGGCGCTGGACACGAAGGTGCTGGGCAGAGGGGAGCTGCAGCCCTG